CTGTGGTGGAAGAAGAAGGGACTTCCGCAGTGCTAACTTCAATGCGTCCCAGAGTGTTCAGGTGACAGGTGGGCGATGGATGGTTGAAGGTTGGTATAGCGCTAAAACCAATGAACGAATCAGGAGCGGGACAGATCATGACACGATCATACTTGCCTTGAATTGCAGGTTGGAAGACCCCTTCTCCAAGCCCACACACAGGTCCGGGACGACTGCGGGACGATGACTGCACTAATAAAATTTTAAACTTAAAGTTTATTTGGCTGGTACACATACTTTTTATAAGATATGCAAAACATTATTTTTATGTGCGTAAATATAAACATCATTATAAACCCCTTAGCTACTATAAGCTAACCTTTAACACGTATATGCGTGACAAATTTTATTTATGTGTGTGCTGCCATAAAAATTATGGTTCGCATCTTATAGTTGAAGATTATGTGTATACACACATAATTTTGATGTTTGAGCTATTCAGTTCAGTGCACACAAGCAAAATGGCGTCATCAAATAAATTCACTGAAATTGTGCTATATCTGCTCGATCTTCCAGCAGAGCTTCTGAACATTTTCAAAGGTAAATAATTATTTATTTTTAACTGCTTACCATCAAACTATTATTTTTGATTGTTTTCAGCGAAAAAGTTGACGGAAGACACGTTAATCAACATTTCCTGCGACGAGCTTGGAGAATCTTTATAATCGGAGGCAACAGAGTGGAATATAAACGAAATCTTCCGTCGCCTAACTGAATGGCGCAAGGCAAACGTGAGTAGGTGCAATAATATTTAATTTGTGCGAAATAACATTTTTTGAATTTTACGCAGGGATACGGCCTTTTCACCTTTGACGAGGTGTACGTCCAGGAGGAGTACACGCAGGAGGAGGACGTGCAGGAGGAAGACGGACAGGTGGATGACGCGCAGGAGGAGAACACGCCTCCACGCGGAAATAATCAACCCACGGACGTCAGTGACGGTATAAAACCTCTATTCAAGAACTCACCAGAGCCTGTAGATGCTTCCGACAAAATTGCTCCGAGTGTCCAAATCAAGGTAGTCAAGAGATTTTGTATAAAAACTCTTGTTAATTTGCTGAACACAACAATAACAGGGAAGGAATTTTGAAGCGAGGCCAGTGAGGTCTTTTATCAAAAGAAAGTCAGCGGGAGCTGGTTGGAGTTATCGCCGATTATCACATTAGCCTGGGAACTTCCTTGAAAGAGGAGAGTCTTCGTGACTACGGTGAAGCAATTGTTGCTCAATTCAGACACGAGACATTGGTATGCACTACATTGCACAATTATACAAACATTAAAATTTTAACCTCAATCTTTTGAATTTCAGGATACGTATTTTGTAGCAAGAAGTGGAAAGAGAAAGAACCATGGCGGAAAATTATTCAATAGAATTACAAACTTAAAACAAAAATTGATCAAACGCGCGTTTAAGGAAGAAGAACATTTGCATGGGAAAAAATCAAAGGTTGACCCATTCGTTCCTAAAGATCCGGTGGCAGAAGAAGCGATACTGTGGCTAGTGTGGGGCAAGATGACCATATGGGGCAAGCCGGATATCGTCTCTAAACCATAGAGTTAATTTGGTAGAAATATGTGTAATGCTGTATGAGAACTTACTAGCGAAGTGATTTGCACACATTTCTACCAAATTAACTATAAAACGTTGTGGTTTAGAGATTATGGCCGTCTTGCCCTATATTCCTCTACGCTTTGCCAATGCCCTTGCCTAAACCGAGGCCTGAAACCCTGGAAATAATAATTTTAGCACACGTACAGTATATGTACTTGACACGTAAACATTATTGTTTGAACCATGACTTTCATTTGAATTAGACACATAATCATTATGTTCTACCGAGACATAAATGTTATAAATCTCACACATAAATTTTATTTGCAAAACATATGAAATTCATTTCTTTTGGAACATTGATTTTATTTGTGTGATTGACTTAGACACATAATCTTCATGTTCTACCGAGAAATAAATGTTATAAATTTCACACATAAATTTTATTTGCAAAACATATGAAATTCATTTCTTTTAGAACATTGATTTTATTTGTGGGAAACCAAATATTTTTTATGTTCCCCAAACATATTGTTTATTTGTGAGGTCTAATTGCAAAAAAATATGTGGTTTCACACATAAAAGGTATATGGAAATTCACCTCGGTGTGGAATGACTCAACTGTGGCGGGAGAAGGCATAACCTCAGGAGCGATCCAGGCGGAATTTTGAAAATGGCACTTAAGTACAGAATACCAGAACCCAAGATCGACATATACCTGGAAAACCTGTATTCGACAGAACGTGGAGAGGAGCAAAATTCCCATTGAAGTATGGCAGGATATCGCACAAGAAAGGAGCAAGTTCAAACAAACCACTAAAAACCTGTATAGTAGCATCAACAATCAATACGAAAGTAACGATTTTAAATTGGCTCACTACTTGACTAGCCTATTGGTCCCAAGCAAACGATTAACGTACCCCATTCTAGTCGAAATTCTAGTACTATGCAATGTTTGTTTTGATTCGCTATGAAAGTTTGACAGATAAAATGAGGGGTTAGTGGTTTTTCCTAAAGAGCCTGAATTTATAAAGAGACGACATCTTATCCATTTGACAGGTCTTCTGCTCGATTGGAATGACTTTTCTTATGACTTTGACAGACAATCGATTGTTCCAATTTTGACATGTCGCCTCTTTATAAATTTAGGCTCTTTAGTTTTTCCTATGTTTCGAGGGGTGAATCGATTAGCTTGGGACCGAAGAGAGTACCAGAGCTGAGCCAAAAAGTTGAGCACGTTATTTCGGGACCTTCTAGTCTTAGAGTTACCTCTATGGTAGCATGGTGGAGTCGGAATTTGAGACAAGCAGCGACTCGGACTGGGAGAGTGATTTCGAAGGCCTAGTTTCATCAGACTTCCTCGGTATTAGTGATGAAGACCCCATTATGAGAGGAACCGATTCTGATGACAAGGTCGATCCGAGGCAACGACAATGACGACCCAAAAAATATCCCCAGCCAACAGATGATTCAGCAATAACAACCCATAAAGCATCCCTAGTCCACCGATGATGATTCAGCAACACAAGTAAGCCCAGAGTTCAGGTAAGTTCACACAATCGTTATATTGACATGCTTTCCCGCCGGCGCCGGTGGTTTAGTGGTAAGCGTGACTGCTTTTTTCTGAGGCATAAAAATCTCTGGTCACGTCTTCCTTCGGAAGGGAAGTAAAGCCGTTGGTCCCGGCCCATGTGTGTTGTTGAATGGGTGCGATATCCTACGCAGGTGTGGAAGCTGCCTTCCTGCACATTCGGTTGCCGTCAATGGATGGCAATCGATGTCCGTCGGTGATTGGCACTAGATTGCGGAACAGAGACCGACGTTAAATAAAGGAAAAGAAGACATGCTTTCCCAATAGGTCCCTACTCAAATGTGTTAGCAGTGCCTATTCGACCACCATTGGTTATCTCTTCTGGCGTTCGACTAGTGGATTTATTGGATAGAGCAGGCCTTGATAAATGAGCCCCAAAAGGGCTGCAACCTGTAGTCTACAAAATAAAAGCACGCCACTCACGTAGTACGTGAATGGTTGCTCTATAATGTTCCAAAACAACTCAAAACACCTCCTCAATCACCTGATTTGAATCTTATAGAGCGTTTGTGGTGGGAGGTCAAGCACCGACTGAAGGATATCAATCTAAAAAAATAAAACGGAAATCAAAAAGGCTATTCAGGAGATCTGCGAGAAAATTGCGTCAACTGTGACCAAACAATTGGTGGAATCGATACCTCGATTTCTGTCATATTGACTTCTTTGCTATGAGAAAAGTGGGCTGTACGCTCAATTTTTAAACACATGAATTAGTGGTTTTGATTTTGTTAATTTGATTTGTATGTTAACAGGATAAATCTTAAGATATTTAGAGGTTTTTTTTTTATTTTTTAAATTTTTTGTCCAGAGAAACTGTCGATTACTGAATTAATTATACGTGTACGCTAAATTGACTGTATGCACGATTCAAGATTGAAAACGTTGTTGTTCTACTTGCGCTGACCTATTACCATTTGCATAGCTTCGTGTCGCCTGTAATGGATCGTAGTTGTTTATTTTTGTAGAGTAAGGGGCTTGGTGGCCTAGTAGTGACCGTTTTTGCTTACTAGGCTGTATGTAGGAATTCGTCGCTGGTAGAATTAGTTCAAATTGGCACGAGGAAAATGATAAATATTCTCTGCAAGTATGATATATGCTCAATACGGGTTCGGTTATATAATTGACACCGAGGACTCTACTCCGTTTGGCATAATGTCGTTTGGCAAAATTGCCGTGGAAGGGTTGGATGACTTCCAGTGGTATACAAAGTATTTTTCCAGATATATTTCAGGGAGGACTTTTGGATTACAGGTTATACTATCTATAGGTTAGACGACATGCAGGGCTAATCCAAAGAACATTCCGCGACAAGTGCAGACAGATTTGATTTCATCTCTCCGGAAATAGCTCGTTTCCTTACTTCGATAAGCAATTCACTAGCAAGCGCGTACGAACAGTAACAATCTCAGTTCAAATTCACAGTTAACGAATGGCTGTAGGACAGCTCTCTCTTGCTCACTAATTTGGTAATCATTCAATATGATTACCAAATTAGAGCGAGAGAGAGGCAGATCCGTCCTGCAGCCATCGGTTAATTGACCTGTAATTGTTCTTGTATATGCAACTCCGCAAATGACTCGATGAAGCACATTTGGAACTGATAAGCCATCAACACACCTGCCCGTATGAAAATGCTTCATTGTGGCAAACTTATCTCTCTTTCTCTCTTGAGTCTCGATTAGATAACGCAGATAGAGGGCGACAGCGCAAAGCAAAAGTATGCCACTGAAAGCATTTTCTGAACGATAGGGAAAAAAAAACTATGACTCATCGACGACCACACGGACCCAGTTCGGATGCAAGAAACACAACAGCAAATTAATTTCCCTACTCTGAATATAGCATCTAGTCAAATCTAAACTTTATTACCTTCACAACTACAACCGCCTAGTCTACAATTCATCCATGCCGAAAGCTTCCTGCTGCGGTAGATCGGCAGATGTAGTAACATTAGTCGGAATATTCTCACAAATACTGCTAACCTTCCTAAGGAGATCCGTCACCGTGTGCAGCACCTGCTGCCATTTTATCATTTCCTTGGCGTGCTTGGTTTCCTGTTCGTGCAGCAAAGCGAGCCAATCGGCGTGCGTCTGGGGGGGATTTTTCAAAATTTTATGATCAAAAGCGACACCATCGGCGGCCAAGGCGGCGTCATTCTTGAAGAGGTTTTCGTTTTCGCCCTCCAGATTCCAAAGCTTAACATAGAGTGCAACATTTATCGATAGTAAAATCACTAACAAAATCACAATAAACCACGAGAAGAACGTTTGGGGGGCGGGTGGTTTGGAGGCGGCGCTGGTTGCCGCCGCCGGGAGCTGTGGGATGCTCCGTAAGACCGACGGTTCCTCCAGGGCTTTGGCGTGATGTTGGTAAGAGAGCGCGGGCTTACGAGATCGGCGACTTTTGCTCTTGGCCGGCGGAATGCAGTATTCGCTCTGAAGGCTCCGGAGCAGTGCGTTATAGAAATCCTCCAGCCCAACCCAGGTGTTCTTCTCGATGAATCCTCGCACAAAGCCGAATATGTTCTTTTTGTAGTGAATTTGAGCGTGAACGGAGAGAACCGTGTGGTCGTCCTTGGTCCGGGACATGCAATAGTGCTGGGTGACATAGAAACTATCTGCGTATGGAATGCCTCCCTGAACAGCGTTCACGTCGATGGAATACAACTGACCCGGTTTGCTGCAGTCCCGCATGAGCTGCGTTTCCGTCACCTGGGCGCTGCGCGGCCCAATGGTCTGAGTTATGGCGATGGTCAAACAGACGACTCTCTCCTTCAATCCATCGCTGTTGACCTTCCACTCGCCGTGAATCATGTCGGTCGTTTTACGAGAGTTATGAAATTCAGTTAGAAATTTAGATTTAGAGAAAAGCAGTTCAAATAGAATGTCCACGTTGATCGGAAGAATAGTATGCACCAACTGCCGTCCGGAATGTAGTGAGTTGCATTCGACTCCAGCGAAGAATTCCTCCTCCTTCTCGGATTCCGTCGAATCGGACATATCCGTGGGGAGCAACTCTGATGGGGTGGACAGATTGCTCTCCGGATTGAAAGCGGCCTTCGCGTGGACCGTCTTCTTCGGTTTCGTCTCCTTTACCACCATGATGATGGTCGTCGGTTCGTCCGATAGTTCTTCGGTGATGTCTTTGGTAAGATCCTCCAAAGATAGCTTGTCGATGGTATCCTTTTCCGTATTCTTATCGTACGGATCGATGTAGTCTTCGTCGTCGCTCGTCAGTCCGAGCTGGTCACCGTAACACGTATGAACCCACTGCCAGAGTTCTTGAGGGTTAATAGGTTTTTCCATCAACGCATTTTGCCATACACGAAACAGCATAAGATAGGTCTTGTCGCGCGAAGTAAATGAGGTGAGAAAATGCTTCTCGTTGTCCGTACAGACCGATATCGCATTCGGTATCACTCGCGCCGTCTTCTCCTTAGTAATTGACGTAACGTCCTTCCATCGGATCGAGAGCCTCGTCTCCCAGACAATTATGTTCGCATGAAAGCACAGATAGTTTTGCGTAACGTACAACCGACCGTGCACCAAGATATCCTTCTGAATAGCACACGAATAGTCCACAATCAACCGCTCGTCGTCGGACACTTCTTTGAACAGTTTCTTGAAATCTTCCGTCCGCGATTTGTACGAAGGATAGATCGCATTATACCATGGCGTTTTCTTGGCCCGTTCGGTCAAATTCTTCTGCGATTTGTTTTTGTCGATTCCCTTCTCCGGCTTGCCACCACCGTCTACCACGGTAGCCAAATTACCACTATCGCTCGACTTGCTGCCAGTGTCAACATTATCGTTATCGGACTTATCAGTGATGTTGGACGTGGCGGAGCTACTTCGGACGCAGAGGGTAGGAGGCTCGATGGTGCTGGGGGTGCTAGGAGTGGCAGCGCTAGCGGTGGTGGTATTCGAGATGCTAGCACCCGCAGCAGCGGCAGACGACGAACTATCGGAAGTGGAAGTGGTGCTGCTGGAAGGGTCCCTGCTAACTACGGAGAGATTATTATTCTGTTGATTGCTGCTGCTACTGCTACTATTCGAAGTCATTGCATCCTGATGATGGACATGGTTTTGCGTATCACCCATGAATCCGGCGTCCGGCAGCACCGACTAGAACACACAATTACAATTGCTACACCATTTTCCTAACATCCTAGAGGGCACAAAAAGGTGCTGAGATTCACAATTTTCACTGCCAGGAGAGATTCAAACACAAACTGCGATTATGATATCGCAAAATTTTCCCAGCGCAGCAACATTAAGAGCTATTGGCGTTGACGGCGACTCTGTAGCTCTTTACTCCTATGAGAAAATCCATAAGCAAACGTCAGACTGTGCGTGAAACATGGCGGACTTTGTACTATCCTTTCACTCCACCGAAAATTCCCATAAGAAACTGTCTATATTTGCTGGAAGAGCAAATTTTTCGACGGTGCCGTCAACGCCAATAACTGTCAGATGGGAAAAAGTTTTTTTTCGTGCAGTCCTTGGCCGAGGATTCGGTCGTTGGCGACGCTTGTGCCCATGCTAACATTATAGCACAAGTTTTGGGATCTACACTGAACCAAAACATCCTCCCATCATTGAAAACTGATTCGCTTGCGCCCAATATGATGTCGAATTCTGGATGACTATCTTTTGGTTGGATTTCTCTTCTCAGCTGATGAAGATTTATATATTCCTTTCTATATGCACATGTTATATTGATGGTCCACAATTGAGGGTAACAATAGCAAACCATCAATGTTTGGCTGGAGCGACAGTGAAAAATTAAAAATTGCTCATTGCGCTTTTAATAAGCTCAAATTGTGTGTTGGGTTGCTTCATGAATAATTGTAATATAAATAAACAGCTTTCTGAAGACAAAAATTACACTCTGACACACTGTTGTCCGTACTTATTGTGTTTCATATGTGTTTCTGGGTGTTTCAGCGTGTTGACCAAGCTGTCAAAACTTCAATCGAAAAAAATACTGGCAACCATATCAACAATCAATACGAAACTAACGATTTTAAATTGGCTCACTACTTGACTAGCCTATTGGTCCCAAGCAAACGATTAACGTATCCTATTCTATTCAAAATTCTAGTACTACACAATGTTTGTTTTGATTCGATATGAAAGTTTAACAGATAAAATGAGGGGTTAGTTGATTTTCCTATGTTTCGAGGGGTGAATCGATTAGCTTGGGACCGAAGATAGTACCAGAGCTGAGCCAAAAAGTTGAGCTCGTTTCTTCGGGACCTTCTGGTCTTAGAGTTACCTCTATGACCATATTCTCAACCATGACGTAATGCTGAAAATGACAGATGCCCCTGAGACTCATTATTTCAGTGCCAACATTTCAAAGGGGCGTAATTGCTTTATGTAAACAATGACTTTAGCCGTCAATTTCTCGCGAATGAAATCTTACCTCTCCAAAATTACAATGCTAGCTGGTAGAGGAAACACTCCTCTACATGCTGGTGTCATTATTTTTCATGAGTGAGCTTTTATTCGCGAGAAATCGATGGCTAAAGCCATTGTTTACAAATGCAATTACGCCTCTTTGAAATGTTGGCACTGATTTGGATTATTTTGAGCTAATACAACCACAGCCCAGTGCACCGGCTTTCAGAGTGAGACATGAAAACCCTAATAAAAATGTATGGTTAATTTGCTTAACGATGTGTTCGGAACATCACTAGGGACATCATCATAACCATTTGTGAAATAGTTCAATCATTTGGGTTATCGTTCGTTTATGGTATTCTTTTTATTAGGAAAGGACCGCCAGGTTAGCATTAGAGTGTGGGCGGACCGAAGCGGACAGAGTTCTCCCGGGGCGCAAGGGGGGACACATGTATTGGCTTCGGAAGGATCGAAAATAAATACGCACGGCACTTCACGGGTGGGCTTCGTGGTCGTGCGGTTAGCGGCGTCACCCGTCGTTCAGGCATATTGTGAGTGCCATGAAGTGCCGGTGGAACTTTTCGCAACCCGGATATTTCCCTACTGGTCTACTGGGTGTTAAGTGTTGTCCGTTGTCTAGTGTTAAGTATTAAGTCTGTTTTTTAAAGAACAGACGAAACTTTACTATTGTTGTTGTTATGTACACATTAAGCATATAGTCTTGCCAGAAGGGCCGTCATGCACACATAAGTGCCATAAAAGTTTATGTATGGTGAGGGGTAACACAATGTAAATACCTTCACTCCTCCTCAATGGCTAGACCTCACCTTGATGTTCGGTTGCGTTAACCAAACGAAAATGTTCCGCAAACTGTCGATGCTTTACAAAACCTAACGGCTTCGTAAGGACATCAGCTGGCATCTGGTCCAAAAGGCAGTACTGTACGAGGTACTGTAGCACCACTTCACCTCTGTCGCACAGATCCTTGACAAAATGGTGCCTGGTTTCAATATGCTTCGATCTCCTGCTTGATCTCTACGAACGTGCGAAACTCAAACCGCCCTGATTGTCTTCGTTAATCACTGTTGCTTTCACCTGTTTTTCACCAAAGTCTTCGAGTAGTCGCCTCAGCCACACAACTTCCTGACACGTTTCAGCCAGAGCGACATACTCAGCTTCCATTGTCGAAAGCGTCACACAAGACTATCGACGACTCACCCAGCATACTGCTCCTCCTCCGTAGAACACAACGTATCCTGTGGTCGATTTCCTCGTGCTTTTGTCTCCTGCCTAGTCCGAATCCGAAAATGCCACCAAATCTTCCGCCTTTTTGCCTCCAAGCTGCAGTTTTCAGTCCATCGTTCCTTTCAAATAGCGTACCACGCGCTTCGCAGCGGTCCAATCAGCCTCCGTGGGAGCACTGAATTTCCGACCAAGAATCCCGACATATAGTAGTGCACCTACCACGCTTCTGTACTTCGTACCATCTTCGAATGGTTTGCTGTCAACCTTATCCTTCAGATAGAGCTGATCCATGGACGTTCTTGCTGTCTTTGCTTCGCTAAGACTTGTTCTGGCAACCAGTTGTTCAATGTAGTTGGTCAAAATCACACTGAACACGCCATTCTCCCTTCGAACTTCCTGTCCAAGGAAATGTTTCACATCGCCGAGATTAACTATTTCGAAATGCTGACTCAGCTGCTTCTGAACACGAGTTATTTCATCCTCGCTTTCACATCTGATCAGAAAATCATCCACGTAAACGATAAGGTAGATTTTCTTATCGTTTCTGGTTGCCATGAACAAACACGGATCCGCGCAACTTCCTTGGAAACCCATTTGTGTCAGAACACCGGTTAGTTTCTGGTTCCAACATCGAGCTGACTGTTTCAGTCCGTATATGCTTCTACGAAGTCGGCAAACAATCTCCTCCTTTCCGTGAACCTCGTAGCCAGGTGGTTGACGCATATAGATTTCTTCTTCGATTTCTCCATAGAGATACGCGGTGCGGACATCCAAGTTCTTCAACGCCATTCCTCTCTTTCCAGCCAGGGACAACAGGACTCTGAGTCTAGCATGTTTGGTCACAGGGGCGAACACTTCATCGTAATCAACGCCATAGCACTGAGTGAATCCCTGCGCGACGATCCTTGCTTTGTAGCGGACGACTTCATTTGATTCGTTCCGTTTCACTTTGAACACCCAACGACTGCCTACAACTTTCTTGCCCTTCGGAAGTGGCACCAGTTCCCACGTCCTATTCTGCTTATGCGACTGGATTTCGCTATCCATCGCTTCCTTCCACGAACATCGATCCGGACTGGACACTGCTTGCTTGTACGTTGCTGGTTCCTGCACCTTCTGTGTCACAACACCTACCACATAATCCAACAAACGGCTCGACGACCTTGTCGATTTGCACTGTCTAATTCTTCCCTCACTTCATCTACTTTTTCCTCCTCCTTCACCGCGAGGGGATCTTCATCTGGATCGGGATCGTCCACATCAAAATAATCTTCACGCTCACTGTCTTCGCTCACCGGTTCTTCATCTTCTTCGCCACTATCGGCAGTTCCTTCTTCCGCTGCCTGCTGCTTCAGGAGCACCTCAGGAAAAGGCCACTCGATCACACTGCTAGACAAATTTTCATCAGATGTCGTTTGCGAATCCATTCTATGTGACGATCCGTCGTCCATTTCTAAAAACTTGGCTTATTGTGATCCTGTCAGTCAAGGTATCAACAAAACGGTAACCCTTGTGAACGTCAGAGTACCCAATAAACCGCAGCTTCGCTTTACTGTCAAATTTTCCCCGTTTGACATCGGGAATGTGGACATAAGCCGGCGCCGGTGGTGTAGTGGTAAGCGTGACTACTTTCTAACACTCCAATGGGTCTGGGTTCAATCCCAGCCGAGGTCGGTGGGATTTTTCTGAGGCATAAAAATCTCTGGTCACGTCTTCCTTCGGAAGGGAAGTAAAGCCGTTGGTCCCGGCCCATGTGTGTTGAATGGGTGCGATATCCTACGCAGGTGTGGAAGCTGCCTTCCTGCACATTCGATTGCCGTCAATGGATGATATGGATAATACGCGGCTTTCAGTTGAACAAATTTGTCACGTACCGAACATACTCCTTTACCTTCTCCGGTGCTTCCGACTTCTTCTCGAGCAAATAGACGACCGTAAACGATCGCAACCGTACCTGCAGTGTCTCGGATTTTACACCCGTCCTCCATGAAAACGACAGTAAAACCAAAACCATTTGCAGTTAACTTGTCCACGGAGATTAGACCACTTGTCAACGACGGAACGTACAAAACGTCAACAAGTTTCACGTCAATTGCATTACCTTCTCCGTTAACACCAATCACTGTACCTTCACCGTATCCAGCGGTCTTCGCAACCGTCGGCCAGAAAAACATTTGGACCGTCCTTCTTCGTGAGTGTCGAGAAAAAAAACTTTCGTCACAAGTCATGTGACAACTGGCTCCACAGTCAATAAACCACGACCTGAATGGATTACATCCAGCACACCACTCCTGTTATTCTTGGATTGTTTCGCGTTTTGCTTCACTTCGGGCCCCTTCCGGTCTTCATCACCTTTCTTCTGATTCGTAAGCAATCGACAATCTCGTCGAAGGTGACCCGGCTTACCACAATGGAAACACTTCCGATCCTGCACGGCACTACTCTGCTTTCCATGTTTCGTTGAACTTTTCATCGCATTCACGTCACTTCTCGAAGCACCACTCTTCTCTTTTCTTCGCTCATATTCGTCGAGCAACTTTGACTTAACCAAATGCCTAGTTAAATCGGCATCCGGCCGACCTTCCAATGCCGTCACTAGGCTAGCATAAGAGTCCGGCAAGCTCCGGAGAATCATGGCAATTCGCAACGATTCTTGCAACTCTTGTCCTGCTGTTATCAATCTATCGAACAGCTCCTCGATCTCCAGGAGATGACGCTCCAGATCACCACACTCGGACAAGTTCAACGAACACAATTTCTTCAGCAACGAAACGCTTGAGGTCTTCGTAGACTTTTCGTGGTACGCACGAAGTTTCGCACTTTTTACCAGGCTATACAGGCTTTCTTCTATACACACAACCCGATAGTCGCACGAGCTTTCTGTTCGTCTTTCTTCCACTGTGCCGTCACCAGCTCCGGTTTTGCGTTGGCAATAACATACCAGATCTCTTCCCGCATCAACATCATTTCCATGCGGAATTTCCAGCTCTGCCAGTTCTGGTTGTTGAGCTTGGCAAACATAAGTTTGCTCAAATCCGCCATCTTCAGACAACACAAGAGGCACTCGCGACGCGTAAATAAAACGGACTATAGAATCACTTTTTCGCAATATTTTCACCTTCCGGCACTTGCTCTGGGCCCATATGAAATCCAAGGATAAATTAGTTAAATTTAAAGTGATAGATTTTTAATATCAGTATGCTTGACGTTTCGAGTTCAAAGCACAGCACAGCACATCAACAACGATGTGCAATTGGCGTTGACGGCGACTCTGTAGCTCTTTACTCCTATGAGAAAATCCATAAGCAAACGTCAAACTGTGCGTGAAACATGGCGAACTTTTTACTATCCATTCACTCCACCGAAAATTCTCATAAGAAACTGTCTATATTTGCTGGAAGAGAAAATTTTTCGACGGTGCCGTCAACGCGAATACAATCTAAAATGAAGTGATTTGCTGTTGATTTCATCGTGCTTCGATATGATCTCTTCCAAGGGATTTGCACATCGATTCACCTTCACATGAACATGATGTGTTTTTACCGTGGCACTACTTATGATTTATCCGAGGTTCGATCGGCCGTGAATAAATATTCTAGCTGATTTTTGAAGAAAATCGAGGAAAAATTACTCACTCAGTCAAATTACACTAAATTTTGCGTGACTCTCATCGGCCGTGTAAACTCTAATTTCAGAGTTTTTCGTGTTCAAAATAATACCCGTGCTATAAAATTAAACACACACGTTCTTTTCAAAGTTTCAACTCGTTGTGTCTATACTATCTGATCTGTCAGTGAATACAAAGTAAACAATCGTTTCAACGGCAAAATTATTTTATTTTATTGTTTTTGCATCGCATCGAAAAATCGGTATTCTATCCCAGTTTTATAAGATTTCCTCCCAAATGACCAACACCCAGACCGTGCTGGAGGTAGAGCGACTGGAATGTGATGAGAAGGTAATATTCCCAATCTGCTGTTGATCGCATTTCATTGCTGCATCAATCTTTCTCGCACGCACAGGAAGATGCCCTCTCGGAATACACCCCCGCTCGGCTGCAAGCCGTGCTCAAATACTTCCGAATCAATCCAGACTTCCTCAAGCAGCCCGCAAATTTCCCACGCACTCTCAATCTCATAGCAAACGATCTTACCGAAGGATCATTCCAGAAAACGAGCACTGAAATCCTGAATGCCATCGAGCACTGGAAAAACCGAATAGGACAGTTGGATGCAGCGTCGTTGGCCCACTCTCCGGATCGGGAACTGAAACGGCTGCTCACAGCAATCGAATCCCGTCTGACGCATGGTCAAATAACGCTGATCCTGCAGCACTTGGAGGTCGTTGGTAGCGATGCCGACGGTTTGTGGGCAACGATTGCCGTCGAGATGCGAGCGCTGAAGCATCCTCCCCGACCGGAGATTTACTGGCGTCGGGGGTTTGACGAGTGGTGTCAAGAGGCGAGGGAACGGTATCAGGAAAATCCGGACGAGCTGACGGCACTGCAGCAGCGGTATATAGAATTTGCGAAGGATAAAGGCGAACTGGATGATGCGATGGAAGGTTTGGGGGTGGAAGTGGATGCCCTGGAGTTGGTGCTGAATCACTGTCGGACGTGTTTGGGGGTGCTGAAGGCAGCCGATCCGAAAGCGTACTTATTCGAACCAGTCGGGACGGGTACGACGTTGGCGGATAAGATCAATGTTTGCTTCGGAACGGGGATCGATCTGGAGGAGCGGTTGCCCAAGTACGTTTGCTGGAAGTGTGTGGAGAAGGTGGAGGGAGCGTATGGACTGAAGATGCAAATCGATCGAACCGATGAGGAGCTGAAGAGCTTGATTGGAGAGTATGAGAAGAGGGATGCTCGAGGGATTAAGACAGAGCATGAGTGTAGCATTGAAGTGGAGAAGGTACAGGAAGTGGAGACGACGGTGGAAGGCATCGAAGAGGAGGTTGTCCATTCTGAGGAATGTGAGGAAGAGGAGAATGTAAAGTATGGTTGGTATCCGGTGGATGATCAGCAACAGATGGTCGTTGAACAGGTAGCTGTCAGCGAGGAGCAGGAGATTGAAGGCTTCGATGTGTTGGTGGAAACTGACGAGCATTACTTGGAGACGGATCCGGAGGAAGCACTCGTTGAGGTTAAGCAGGAAGGGTAAGTCAATCTAGTAGCATTCCTTGTCGTTTGAAAAGTAAAATAATGAATAATTTACAGGCAATCCGATCGTATCGAAAATAATTCAGCTAGACCTTCATCGAAACGGAAACCACATCGGAATCAGATAGTAAACGATCTCAATAATGACTTCTACCAGTGTCCGCAGTGTCGAGTTGTCCTGCGGACGTACGAACTTTGGAAGGCGCATAACGCTCGCCACGAATCAGAAAAACGTTACACGTGTGAAACTTGCTCGAAGCAATTTCGATCGTCCTCTACCTTGAAGGTTCATCAGCGAACTCATACCAACGAACGACCGTACGTCTGTAAGGTACGTGTGAATCCTGTCAACCTGATTCTCTTTCGCCTCTGTCCCGTTGGTGGAATTTCGTCGGCTGGTCCTCTTCTAACGCGTCCTCTTTTTCCTTCAGATGTGTAACAAACGCTTCGTACAGAGTACGAACCTAATCTATCACATGAAAGTCCACCAGGGCATTCGTGATTACCCCTGCGATCAGTGCTCGTATAAAGCTCGAAATCAAAACGATTTGAACCTACACAAACGTAGCCACTCGGGGGCACGACCGTATGTGTGCGAGCACTGTCAGTGCTTTTTTTCCACCTCCAGCAACCTGAGCAAGCACATCAAACGGCGGCACACGGGCGAAAGAAAATTCCAGGTCAGTGCTAGTTTTAGAACTAATTTCCCTTTTTTGGCAACTGGCAGGTGTGTGGCAAGGCATTCCGAACATACAGCCACATGAAGGCTCACAGTTTCGTGCACAACCGGGACAATCGTCCGGTAAAGTGCGATCACTGTCCTTACCGGACTAGCACCAAATCGTCGCTATCCATTCACATGAAAAGCCACGTGGCCTCTAGGCCGTATGTTTGCACGTACTGCCAGGTCGGCTTCCGAACCTCAAGCAATATGCACAAGCACGTTAGGAACATGCACGAAAAGCAGCGGCCTTTCAAGGTATCACGAAATTACCAGATTTCAAATCAAAGCATGTAATCGATTGAATTCAAAATTCTAACACTTTCCTCCCGTCATCCGAACACAGTGCGAACAATGCGACAAGACGTTCAACACTAAGGAAACGGTGCAGAAGCACATGGTGACGCACACGCGAACGAAGCCGTACTCCTGTCCAAAGTGTAGCTTCGCGTACGGTTGGTACAATGGGTTGCAGAAGCATATGAAGGCGATGCACCCGGGCGTGCCGATTCCGACAGAGAAATCAATGATAGTAGCGATGACGATTAAGGAAGGTGAATAAATGGAGAGCTATGTGAAGGTAAGTCGATATTTTGATTGTTCTGAAACTACCGAAGGCATGATCAGATGCGCGTACTCCCAAAGAGTGCTACACTTCTAACTTCCAAGGAAGGAACAAAAATTCCTCCAAGTGGCGTACTTGATGGGGGATGTTCATTCTAGCTGCGCTACAAAATGGTTGCAAAGGAACAAGAAAACGAGTCAGCTAGAAGGACTTACCTTACCAATCAGGCTAAGGCCTTGTTGTCCTCTGCTGTCCGAAGAAGTCGTCTCCACTCTACTCGATCCATGGTCACACTTCGCCAGCCTCGTAGTCTGCGAAGGGTCCGCAGGTCGCCTTCTACTTGGTCGATCCACCTTGCCCGCTGTGCGCCTCTTCTTGTTCCTGTTGGGTCGCTTCCAAGAACCATTTTCACTGGGTCGTCGTGCTGCATTTTTACGACGTGCTCAGCCCACCGTAGTCGCCCATTTTTTGCAATGTGGACGATGGATGGTTCTCCCAGCAGCTCGTGCAATTCGTGGTTCATTCGCCTTCTCCACGTTCCGTCATCCATCTGCACTCCACCGTAGATGTACGCAACTCCTTCCGTTCTAAAACACCAAGCGCGCGTTGCTTCTCCACGAGCATAGTCCAGGTCTCGTGGCCGTAGAGGACCACCGGTCTAATCAGTGTCTTGTAGATAGTCAACTTCGTGCGGCGGCGAATTTTATTCAACCGGGACGTCCTCCGGAGTCCAAAGTAGGCACGATTCCCTGCCATAATGCGTCATTGAATTTCTCTGCTGGTATCATTTTCGGCGGTCACCAGTGAGCCCAAATACACGAACTCATTGACCACCTCGATTTCATCACCGTCAATCTGAACTCGGGGTGGGACGCTAACATTGTCTTCCCCAGAACCTCTTCCTTTCATGTATTTTGTCTTTGATGCATTGATGGCAAGTCCAATCCGCCTAGCTTCAGCCTTCAGTCTGATGTACGTTTCCGCCATCGTCTCAAAGTTCCATGCCATGATGTCGATGTCATCGGCGAAGCCAAGAAGCTGGATGTACTTCCTGAAGATCGAAAGTCCATCACCTTGCCGTAACCCCCTTCGAGATTCAAAGGGACTCGAGAGTGTCCCCGATACTCGAAGAACGCACATCAGTCGAACCATCGTTGCCTTGACCAATCGCTTCAATTTATCCGGAAATCCGTACTCGTGCTTAATCTGCCATAACTGATCTCGATCGATTGTGTCGTATGCGGATTTGAAATCGATGAACAAATGATGTGTGGGCACGTTGTATTCTGCAGAACCTGCCGAATCGCGAAAAATTGGCCCGTGGTACCGCGGGCATCCATGAATCCCGCCTGGTATTGCCCCACGAACTCTCTTGCAGCAAATGGTGACAGACGGCGGCATTGAATTTGGGAGAGTACCTTGTAGGCAGCGCTCAGCAGTGTGATCGCGCGGTAGTTGCAGCAATCCAACTTGTCCATAGTTGGGCATACGACACCTTCCATCCACTCCTCCGGTAATATCTCCTCCTCCCAAATCTAGGCAATTACCCAGCGCAGCGCTCTAGCCAGTGCTTCACCACCGTATTTTAATAGCTCACTTGGTAGTGGATCTACACCAGTTGCTTTGTTGTTCTTCAGCCGACCGATCTCCTCCTCAACTTCTTGAAGATCAGGGGCCGGTAGCCTGTCGTCTTCTGCGCGTGCTCCAAGGTCTGTTGCCTGAAACTTTTAAGAAGTTCGAAGTACCTAAGAAAAGCTAGATCTAGAGATCTTTGGAAAATGCCAGTGATCTTAAGAGCAGTTTCCATAACATTAATCCAGACTTTTCGAGCAGTTAAAAGATCTCTACGCGTGATTTTAGAAAACTTCAGGATAGTTCCATGCAGGGCCCCACAAAGTCACTTTCAATCGAAAATCGTCAAGCGACGATGAAGCTGTCAACCATCACTTTCAATTGAAAGTCATTCTGTCTTCTCTTCGAGCAGATCCCCGTCAACATCAACAGAACCACTTTCGATCAGTTTTCATGCTGTTTGTTTTGGCTTGACTAGCCTTCATTTCTTCTTTCATTGTCAAATGAACTTACTTTTGCATTGAAGCGAATCTGTTCGATCCAAATTCGTACAGTTTTTATGACTTTTGTTGATTGTTCGCTCGGTTCATTTAAGCGTATGCGCATAGATCTGTGCATGAGGATGTCAAATTTATCATTGTCGGGTGGTTTGTTTACCCATCAATATGGGTATTTTTTTTACATCGAAAATTGATATGCGACGCCATTTTGAAATCCAAGATGGCGGCTTCCGGTTTAAGAAAAAGTGGGAAATGCTGTCAAATACTTATCAATAAAGGTATTTTTGGAATCGGGATGATGTCTAGACGATGAAAATCGATATCCGACGCCAATTTGAAATCGAAGATGGTGGCTTCCGTTTTACGAAAAAGTGGAAATACAGTCAAATACACATCAATATTGGAATTTTTGTAATCGGTATGAAGTATACAGATCGAAAATTACGGAGATGAACTAGCCTACGGCTAAAAATCTCCTAAATAAAGGAAAAAAAATTGATATGCGACGTCATTTCGAAATCCATGATGGCGGCTTCCGATTTCAGATTAAGTGGGAAATACTGTCAAACACCCATCAATGTAGGTATTTTTGGAATCGGGATGGCGTCTAGAGGCCGGAAATCGATATCCGATGCCATTTTGAAATCCAATATGGCGGCTTATTATTTCAGAAAAAATGGGAAATGTTGATGCCATCAATATGAGTATTTTTGGAATCGGGCTGACGTCATTTTGAAATCCACGATGGCGGCTTCCGGTTTTCTTTAAATGTTGTAAATTCTATCAAATACCCATACAAACGGTTTTTTTTTTAGAATCAGGGTAACGTCTAGAAGCCGGAAATCGATATCCGACGCCATTTTGTAATCCAAGACGGCGGCTTCCGATTTGCGGAAAAGTGTCAAATATCCTAAAATATGGCTATTTCCAGAATGGGGATGCGACGTAGATGCCGAAAATTGATGTTACGCCATCTAAATCCAAGATGGCGGCTTTGGTTCAGAAAAACTGTGAAATACTGTCAAATACCAATCAATGTGGGTTAGAAACCAGAAATCGATGTCCGACGCCATCTTTAAATTCAAGATGGTAGCTTCCGATTTCAGAAGAAGTTTCAAATAGCCTACAAATGGCATCGAATATTGATTTTCAGCATTTACGTGTCGTCCTCGTTCCGAAAATACCAAGATCTCAGGGTATTTGACACTTTTTGTGAAACCCGATGGCCGCCATATTGGATTCCAAAGTGGTATCTGATATCGATTATCGGCATCTATGCGTCATCCCGTTCCGAAAATACTCATATTGTAGGATAGTTGACACTCTCTGAATCCTGATGGCCACCATCTTGGATTCCGAAATGGCGTCGAATCGAGGGGGGCGACACATCTAAATCTCAATTCTAGATGCCCAAAAAATCTCACACTAGCGAATCAATCTTGGAAAATCATCTTTCATTTCTCGCATCTACTTGCATCGTGCTTCATCTTTTTGCAGGAAATCTTCAAAATCGAGACAAATCTTTGTTTTATCTACTCAGCGTGCGTGCAGCTAGCCACAGCAAAACACAATCTTTTCTGCATCGTAGATAGAGTCGTCCCCCTCGCGTCGAATTTAGATTTTTGGCATCTGCGCTTTGTTCCCGTTCCGAAAATACCCATATCCCACTTCATAAAAACCAATGACCACTATCTTGAATTCCAAAATAACGTCGAATATCGATTTTCGGCACCTTCGCGTCGTCCCGTTCCGAAAATACCCATATTGTAGGGTATTTGAGACTTTCCCTGATCCCAATGGATGCCATCTTGGACTCCAGAATGGCCTCGTTAATTTAATTTTAGTTTATTATAAAATAATATATTATTACTACATATAATCCGGATGCCATGTTGATGCCTGCGTCGTCAGGTCGTGACAAGTCGAATGAGCCCTGAATTGAAGTAAAAGTGGAAAAAAACGAAGGAAGCAGTTTTCGAGTCATTCATTGCGTCAATTGAAACGAGCCTTTGCTTCAAATGAAATGAACTGAAGCACTTGACGAACATAACAAGTGATAGTCCAGTCATGTTTGAAAAGAGGAATGTTCATTGTGACTCGATAACAAGAAACACGGTGACTTACACGAAAATGATATTGCTCGAAATGAAGCGATTCTGCGGAGAGTTCATTTTTTTCTTTGTTTCGAAAATGCAGAACCCTGGTTCCATGATGTGCTGAAAAAAAGTCGAGAACCCTCATGATGTTCTATTGTTTATTGAAAAATTCAACTGGCAATTAGCCCTAAATGAATAAAACTTAAACTAAGGCTCTGAACCATTTGGCGAATTTTTTTTAACTTTTAGTTAAAATTTAACATATAAAGGGTGTCCACGATGAAATTGCCACACTATGAAATTGCTCTAACTTTTTAACCGTTGGGTAGAATTTTATGAAAATTTGGGTGGATTTAGTTCATAGTGCATTATTTACATCCTGCAAGTTTTAAAGTCGTGTGATCAAAACTCGCGGAAATGGAGTCGAAAGAACAGCTCGTGCGTGATAAAATCTTGCGCATTCATCACGAGAACAAGGATCTCTCGCATCGTTCCATCGCTAAAACGTTGGGAATCGCGAATTCCACGGTGTCGCGAGTGATTAAGCGGTTCGAGGAACGGTTGACCACCGATCGGAAGCCCAGAAGTGAAGGAAAAAGTATTCCGTACAACACCAAAAATCTCAACCGCGTAGTTGGGGCCTTCAACCGAAATCCGAACGCCTCCGTTAGGGATGTGGCTAAGAAGCTGCACCTAAGCCGAAGTTTTGTCCAGAAGGCCAAAACTAAGGCTGGGCTTCGAACGTTCAAGGTACAAAAGGCCCCTAATCGCGACGAGAAGCAGAACAAGTCCGCCAAAACCCGTGCCAGGAAGTTGTACCTCAACATGCTGACGAAAGTTG